TAAAAGGGCTACAAAACTGCTATTTCGGTTTTTCGAATTTTTTGGATTTTGACCCCCAAAAATAAAACAAATATATTTTTTATATAATAGCCCAAAAAATCCAAAAAGTTTTTTGAATTTCGAAAAAAACTGGCATATATGTGATAGCCCCTCCCACCTTCTATCTACATACCAAATTTGAGATCGATACCTCTTTTTTTGGCCAAGTTATAGCGAAAAAACTGTTCAAAATTGATGACGTCAAATTTTCAAACTCAATTTTTAGCAATTCTAGACCTCGTAGCGCAAAACAAAGACTACCATTAGACTCCCCCTGATGGTCTTATAACCAACACCATTGAGTTGGAAATGAAAAACTGGCCATAAAACATGCATCGCATAACCTTAATAAAGTTGGGCTCATGTGGTGACCCTTGGTGACCTTTGGTGACCTGACCTGTGACCTGACCTGGTATGACCAGTGACCTCTAATAGCAACATATGTACTAGACAACAGACGCCTTATCGCTGATTTTCGACAAAATGCGTTTTACTCGGTGTTATAGCGCTTTCCCTAGAAGCCCCGTGAACGGTGAAACATTTTATCTTTGACCTGACCTGTGACGTCATCGGTGACCCCGAGGTCAATGAAATTTGGTTTCCCTCGACAAATTTGACAGCGCTATCGAACGCCGTTTGAATTTTCCGGATCCGTCCAGTAGTTTCGGAGATATGGGGGGGGGCAAAAAAGTGCCCCCCCCCCCACCGCGCGGAAGGTGGCTGGTAGGCCCACCGCCTGCCGGGTTAAATCAATTCCTTAGAAGGCAAACACCTCCAAGAATGGGCGATTTGTCAGACTTTTTTCTGAGTACTTTTTTTACCTTCCAAAGGCGTTTCCGATATTGACATTACCACCATCGTCTTTCTAGCGTTAAGATACTCTGTACTCTCAGAATGAAATCCTGATACAATTTGACCTAATAAGGTCAGGAAAATTTGACTGAATGAACATAAAGGACTGAATGAACATAAAGGACTGAATGAACATTTGACTGAATGAACATAAATAGCTGACCGCAAGGTAGCCTGGCAGAAAATAATAATGTTACGTGTCGGTCTGTGCTCATAATCTTATACAACATACACTTATATGTTGGAAAGATTCGTGTATTTCCCAGGCATTCTATGAATGCCTGAAAATCAGGCATTCTATAGAATGCTCAGGGATTCTATAGAATCCCTGGTGGGTCAGGCATTCCATAGAATACCTAGGGATTCTATATTGCCTGGTCGGTCAGGCATTCTATAGAATGCCTGATTCCACACATTGCCTGTAACAGATACACTATGGCGTGCGTTTTCCACGTGTTTTTTCGTAATGCAATTCCAATCACATTAACCCGCGCCCCACTGGGGCGGGGGGGGGGCTATTCATAGCCCCCTCCCGTTTTTCTGCAATAACTTTCAAACCGCTTGACGTATCGACGCCAAACTTTCAGTACCTTCGGCTGGATTTGTGTCAAAATATGAACTTCGTAGCTATCATAGGTCAGCCGGAAATGACGTCAGAGTGACGTCATATTCGGCCGATTTCGACGCAAAACATTGAACCACGGCAATCGCTCCCAAGAGCTCAGTTTTAACCTAAATCCAATTTCTTTGCATGAGAGGACTCAGAATAGACTGCGCTATCAAACTGCAATCTCGGATTTTCACAATTTTGAAAATTTTGAAAATTTTATATAATAAAATTCAAAATTTATATTTTTATATTTTTTTCAAAAAGTTTTTGACTTTTCGATAACAACCGGAATATATGTGATAGAAAGCATGCTTATGACTAACTCCAGCAAGTTTTAGCTAAATATTCTCAAAAATGGCCAAGTTATACGCATTATTGCAAAACATTTACAATTATTAATTTTTCAAATCATTTTTACAGTACGTATTTGACATCGTATACCAATATAAATAGCACCATCGTGTTCCTGAGCTCAAACTGCATCCAATAGATACCTTTTTTGTTGAAAAATTTTAGCTTCAAAATTTGACCTTTTTTTGACCTGAAAGTGACCTGACCTAAGCTAAATTCGACTCAAAATGACCTCAAATGACACAGACGACAACAAATTCGAAATCCATGACCTAAATGGACCATAAAACATGTGTCACGTGACCGACGCATGATATAATATTTCCGTGACCTGTGATGATCTGACCCTGACCTGAAAATCAAAAGTACAAGTTTGGTACCCTCAGGGTATCTAGAGCATCTGTTCATGAGTGTATAAACCAAAAATTAGCCTGATCTGACTTGTAAGACGGCGGCCAGAGCCCAAAATGTGAACAAGCCAAAATGCTTATAATGTTTACTTTGACCTGGCCTGTGACGTCATCGGTGACCTCGAGGTCAATGAAATTAGATGTTGCTCGACAGTTTTTCCGAGGTTATCAGATGCCGTTTGAATTTTGACGATCGGCCCAGTAGTTTCGGAGAAAGGAGGGGGGGCTATGGAGAGACCCCCCCCCCCCCAGGGCGTGTTATACGCAGACCCCAGTGGGGCGCGGGTAAACCATTTTTCTTGAAAATTACAGCATTAACTTCTCATGGTCGTGTGATGATGTGAGAGAATTGTAAAGATATTCATAAAATTGCGGATTGTATTAAAGTTTTCATGGGTAAACTTTTTTCCGGACACCCTGTATAATAAATCTTTACAGAAAAGAGATGCAAACATTCTCATTGTATTCAGCTTGTTAAGACGCGTAGGGGAGACCGGGGCTAGTTGGTGCCAGGGGTAAGTTGGGACGGAAGGGATATTTCCAATACTTCTCGGCTGTTGGCGTTCAAACTTATTTTGCGCATGCACTGTAACGCCGTCTGTTTGTCAACGTGGTGTCGGCGCGTCCTGAGGTAAGTGCTGTTACTAATCGCTAAAAATGTGTTTTCAGGTACCAAAAGTGATTTTCTTGCTTTGAAAATATTCTTTTCTAGTGTCATTGATAGTGGACACGTTGCCAATCCGCTACGCCTGAGAGACCTGCGGACATTTTGGATACGAGTACACTCTCAACCGTTCTTCGCCAAATCATTGTGAATTGGTCACGTACGTGGTTCCAAAATAAGAATGGCGCTTCGGGGTTAGTTGGGCCAGGTTGATGTGGGGCAGGTTGGGCAAGTTTGTCAAAAGCAAGTCGAGGGAGCAATGCTTGCAGTGTGAAGATTGGGCACATACGCTATGCACAGGGGGCAGCAGAGTCTTCATCTGTCAAAACTGTTACTCGGAGAGCGAATGAGTGAGGTTGGTGGTGCATTTTGTAAAAGCATCTGAAGCTGGTCATACACATTTTGCGTGTGTGCGTTTTTGTTTGCCGCAGGGGTACTGCGAACTTTTGCGTTTTGTCATTAAATGTTGATAAACATGCCCGCATGGATTAGCGATGACTGTTCATGTGAAACATGAATACAAATGTGTTTAGATAAACTGTTTTTCCTAGTGCACTAACTTGCCCCAACCCCTGGCCCGACTCACCCCGCCCGCGGGGTAAGTTGGGACATTGGAGGATGGTCGCTTTGATCAGATATGACACCAAGACGATACTACCATCTCTCTTATATTAAGTCTTCTTTAAAAGATAAAGAAATAAGCTCTATCTCTCCCCTAATAATAACCGCAGGTTATTACCGTACTCCGTAGTATGCAAGTCAACCTAGAGGTCACGTAACCATGAGTCAACTTTTGTGAACTTATCCTTTCGAGGCCAAAAATATATATTTCATTGCAAATTGACGAGTGAATATCGATGGTACCATTAGTTTTCCTTATCTTGCTTAACCCTATTAGTGGCAGGCTCCTGGCTACCCCATATTAGTGGCAGGGGGGGGGGGCTGTTTACGACCCCCCCTTGATATCTCGAGATCTAACGGGCCGATTTTCAAAATTCAAACGGCATTCGATTTGGCTCAACGAGATCTACATTTCTCAAAAAAAATTAAAAAATGTCAATAGGGAGGTAGAGGGGGGTAAAAACGGGCAAATTGCAGATACATTTTAGACTGTTTATCACGGCCAGGTTTCTGAACCAATCTTAACGCAACTTTTGCCGATCGATAGAGAATGAACCAGGAATTCACATGGATCCTAAAAATATGCATTTTCAAAAATCATAGGCGGATACAGATCATTGAGATTGGGGGTACACAAAAAGTATAGTAAATAAGGTTTTTGTTGGTACTGTTTCTAAAAAGGGTGGCAATGGTCTTGTTATGTTACAATTTTCTTATGAGAGAACGACTAAAATTGTATTGGTCATGCATAGGCGGTGTCAGGGCACCTATGTTGGGAGGTAAAAAAACCCCCTTTTTGGACGCCTGGATCCGCCTATTATAGCAAAAACGTGTCAAAAGAGGATGCACAATAACTTTGTATATGTTATCACATGATACCTTTCATTCACTGTTCGTAAAACTGGTGCAGCATCGTGATCTTCGCCCAAATGACTCGCTTCACGAATAGGACCCCCAATTCCCAGTGCTCTGGAGCCGCCCCTGGTAAAGTTATGAACTTGAAATTTTCAGGGAATGTGCCCAATTTAGTTTTAGGAAAAGTCAGAAAATTTCAGCATCGTAGCTTCAGCGGTTTCGGAGATATTCCCGAAAAACCTGAGGGGTGGATAAAAACACACCCCCTGCCACTAATAGGGTTAATTCAAAAGTTATTCGCGGAAAAAAAACCTTTTTAACTCTAGCGCCGCAGTTTTGCCTATTTTTTCAACTGTGACGTCATTCTTGATCTGATCTAAAGATAACCTATACAGAGAATTATAGACCTAGTTTTCCTATATCCCATGCCGTTTAACGCTTGTCGCTAGCTTGCTTGTTTTTTGATATCTCGGGGGAGGGGGGTGGATGACCGCCGCAGGTGCGAAGTTGGGCCAGGCCCGGTTAAGGGATTTACATCATTGGGCCCAAGTGTAAGCATTTGTTTCGAGTATTAGCCATTGAATAGTTCTCACCGCACCTGATATTGGCGTAATAGTCATTCCATGCTGTGCAGTCCGGAAAGCTCCAGCGTACATTGACGCTGGTCTCGTCTGCATTGACTGCTCTTACACCGGATGGGCCCTTGGATGGAGCTACAACAAAAACGAGGGGTGACAAAATGACTGCAAAGGAGAATGCAACAAGCAACGAACATTTACGTTTCAGAGAGCATTTTGACTGCCACATACATGTGAGCCAGAAAGCTTATAATAAATATTGAATACTTGTACAATGTACATACAGCCATCGGCATTCAGAGTTTGCGAGTCAGTGCCTACTGCCTATGTCAACATTACACCAGCCACCAGGCACCCCTTCTACACCTTTTTCCTTCAGTTTGAAAAAGTTTGAGTTCAATTTGGAAAAGGTATACTTCAATTTGAAACACGTGCCATTCAATTTGAATTAGGTAAATATCCTTTTCTCAAACCGAACTCCAGTTTTTTTTTCAAACTGAAGGAAAAAGGTGCAGCCGAAAGTTTGTTGTCAATAGTTAAAACACTATTCTTTAGAATTGTGTTTTTCTGTTGAAAAACAAATCTGAGTTCCATGACAATTTGGCAAAAGCTGCCTGTAGCTGACGCTGAAATAGTAATAAAGCTGTGTGCTGGCTTTACTTGTCTAACATGCAAAACATTCGGAGACGTCAAGAAGTGTTAGCTCTTACCTTGGGGCGAACTCTCGAAACGCACGTCTAACGACCTTCCTGGGGCTATGGTGACGGCAGACACCGTCACGACATAGCGCGAGAACGGCACTCGAGCTGGAAGCTGGGCGGTTGTACCGGTGACATTCTGAGTGAATTCCTCATCAACCGCTTTCTTGCTTTGTTCAGGACATGCCTTATATTGTAAGTGCTGAAAAAACATAAACACTCTGAGTCATGATAAGAGAGCCGAGAGTGTCCAATTTAATTAACCTTACTTTTCATTCACCTTCCCGTTTATAATCCTTATATGAAAATATGGCTTCATTTACACTAGTCATGCCCTTTTTTGACAGCTAAAATGTTCTCTGGACTATTTTGTCTCCGAGGCATGCAGAACTTCACCGTCAGTATCACAGTGTATTGCCGGATTCGTCCATTGGGCCATTTCGGTTCTTTCCAGGTGGCGACGTGGTTTGATACATCTGGCTTTACTTCCAGGTCCAGCACTTGGGACGGAGCTGCGGTATAGATCGATCACCGTGACCATCAGAAGGATGTTTTAGTAAAAAAAAAAAGAGAAAAAATACTTCATAAGCGCTACATCAAATTAGTGGCAGCAATTAGCTCATTCTGTAAGTAAACCAAGAAGCTAAACGTAACGGAAACGATGATCTTTGAAAGACGGATGCCGTGCAAAGGCGAAGAACAGTGCAAACAATTTACTCACGGGCTTCATTTGTCTGAAAAGTCACTGAAGACGTGGAGCTTGTTCCCTTTCTGTTTTCCGCCACCGCCACAAGGGTGTAGCTGGTGAAGGGAACCAGTCCGTTTAGCCATACCGTCTCCCTAATGCCGCCTCCAGGACGGACGCTACCACGACTCACTTCCGCCGACACAGGGCTGAGCGTCCATTGTAGCTCGTATGCACACGCCTCCTCTGCATTGCTCAGACGCTAGAAATGAGCACGTTCAAGGAGGGAACGTCAAAAAATTGATTTAATAGAAGGCTGTAACCAAGGCCCAAAATACAACAGCAAAGGCTGTAACAGAAAAGCGCTATTGAAGATTATAGGTAAGCGTTAAAGAGGCACACTGTCCCTCTCAAACTCAAGAATCGCGACAACACTACACGACGACAATACCATGTAGGCTTGTAAGGAGTGAGCGCTCACATGTAGATCCAAATCTGATAATCAAACCTGAGTCGAACTCATGTCAGCTTTAGAAACCAGTATAGCGCCTTTTGGGGCGACTAACGGAGCGAGTGAGGGGGTGAGTCTTGCACGTGCGAAATTTCGAGGGGGTACCTCCAACTGACTTGTGCACGGCACCCTACTGACCGGTTTCTAGCGATGTGCCAAATTTGAGCACAATCGGCCCAGCCGTTCTCGAGATCTGGGAGCGGCACCCTGCACGTGCGCACGTGCAAAATGGGTCCCAATTGACTTGTACACGGCGCCCTACTAACTGGTCCCTAACTGTGTACCAAATTTGAGCGCCATCGGTCCAGCCGTTCTCGAGATCTGGAAACGACCCCTGCACGTGCGCACGTGCAGCAGCACCCCAACTCTGGCACATGGATATGCAGTGCCTAGTGGGTGCCTACCTACATACCAACTTTCAGCGCAATCGGCCAAGTAGTTACCGAGATATTGCAACAATTACAAAACTGACACCTCTTCGTTTTGCACGTGGCACGTGCATAAGGGGTCACCCACATGCATCGGGAATAGTCCAATAATTGGTAGAAGGAATGAAGCTACCCTACAAAAATTACCGCATGTAAATCGGTCAAGTGGTTGCTGAGATATAAGCCTCGCAAAAGCGTCCGCACGGCCGGCCGGCCGGCCGGCCGGCCGGCCGGCCGCTCATACTCAGAAATTTCCGTTATTCTACGTAAGACTCCGCTCGCTTCGCTCGCTCCGTAATGATGTGAGATCTTTACCAAGCATAAAAAATGCGCTGGTAAAAAAACGGAATGATCATATAAGTATACCTCGATAATTATGCTGGCCGAAGTGCTGGTGACGTCTGTGGCAGTTGGTGTACTGATCTTGCCTGGCTCTGAAAAAAAAATAGCCGAATTATCAATCTTTCAAGTTTTCCCACAATACCTGTTTTCACGACGGCCATCTGGTAGGTACAAATTTGGTCAGATTTGGTGCAGATTTGGTCAAATTAGGTTCAGTGTGTTTCTTCGTAGCGCTCGGCTACACTGAAAGAAAAGTACACCTTGGTAATTTGAATTTGATTATTATACACCGCCATTACACCGAAATCAAGAATATTTATACCCTTGTTCGACGTATATGGAGAATAAAATAATGCTCCGGTGCGAATGTACTCTGTCACGAGCGTATTCTTGGGGGTTAATTCAATCCAGTTTAACACTCATGGTGCAATTCTAATTTTTGAGATATTTACCCCTCTAATTGATGGATGGTAAAATTACTACTATAGTGTATTTTCTTCAAGTTGGATAACAATACCCATCTGATAGCATAAATTTGCACTCTGATTTGTCAGCTGATAATTCAACCCTCATCATGGTGTAAATATGCATCCTTGGTAAAGTGTGTTTCGATGAGGATGGTGTTATTTTATGACAAGGATTTAAAATACCCTAAACATGATAGTTCTGCACCCATATGCTCATTATTTTACGATAGCGTCCACGTGCGGCTCGCGAGCCTTCCGTTTCCGCCATTTTCATTTTTGTGTCTGCTCCGGACCGGAGCCACGGAGACTTCTGGCGCTTGCAAGTGATCTTCTGGCGGTTGAAACAGTGAGATAGGTGCGAGTGTGCTGGTGCGTTCGGTGTGGTCATGACTGACTAGTGCTGGACCCATTTCCGAATAACTTTGAGGGTAAGTTGACTTGATAATGTTTTGATGTAGCAGTTGATGAAATTGATTTGCTGCTGTCTGTATGCACGTCACTCACTTAGCTGTTTGTGTCATTACGTGGCATTCTGATTAGTGATTCCAGAAGCTCAAATTGACCCTCTCAGTTTGTTCTCAAGGGCAAATTGAGAAATCAGTTAAGTACCTACTGAGGTTGTTAACTGTAACTTCATCAAATGTTCAATGTGTCGATTTATCAACATATGTTTAGGTATGTTTAGTAATTTCATTTCTCTACGTTTTACAAAAGTACTAGAATCTTGGCCTGAAAAAGTTGCTAATTTATTTTGTGTATTACTTTCAGGTTTGGGGTGACCTGGCTCTCGTCGTGGGTCACGCCGGCGAGAATGGCATTAGGACAAAGTCACCTCAATGACGCGACAGGCGTGCTACACCGCACAACTCCTGCCTCCGGAGGGCGCCACACCCGTTGAAGGTGAGTTTTAAACTACCATTAATGATGACTGACGACAATTGTCCGTCTGTCCGTCTGTCCGTCTGTCCGTCCGTCCGTCCGTCCGTCCGTCCGTCCGTCCGTCCGTCCGTCCGTCCGTCCGTCCGTCTCGCCTGTCTCATCCATGGGCTCCGCCACCGGGGGAGGGGGGGGGGAGGGACGGGGGACGTGTCCCCCCCCCAATATTTTACATTTGTCTGTTTCGTCTGTCTCGTCTGTCGGTCGGTCGGTCCGTGACATACAATATCGTTCTGTACTTAAATGTTACAGTGCTTATTAGTTATATCTTTCAGTTTTCACGGACAGACACAGGGTGGACAGACATACAATATCGTTCTTTGCCTTATGATTACAGTGCTTAACCCGCGCACCGACGGGGGAGCCCCCCCCCCCTCAGGTTTTGTCAGATAGCATAAAAAAGGCGGCGCATAGCGCCGCCAGATTTGGCACGACTGTTGATACATCCATTTCGCACACCCTCTGGAAATCTTTAGCTCATATCTTAAAAAAGTCAGGCCACCAGGCCACGTTAAGTGACCTCACCTCGAAACACAATCTTCGAAGTTTGTTATCTCGTTGTTGAAAGCAGATCTTGAAACTCACAGAAATAATTTTGGTGATGAGCACCTACAACTCGTATATCTCAGAATTGCATATCGATGACCTACGAATAGGTCATTTTTTACCTGCCCATTATAAGTCAATGGAATAAATTTCAAGTCATTCTTATTTCCATCAGATTCCTTTTTATACGACTTTTTATCTCCTCTGTTCATGAGCTATGGAGTCGTTTGTTGAATGTTGTCGGTCTTTTTACGGTTACTCGCATAGGCCTGTTCCAGCGCCTCCAGAAACCTCCAGAAACCTCCAGAAAGCTCTAGAATCCTCCAGAGAACGTTCCAGCGCCTCCAGAAAGCTCCAGAAAGCTCTCGCCAAAGCTCCAGAAACCTCCAGTAGCCTCCAGAGAGTTGGGAGGTCCAAATTTCTCTGGAGGCTCTGGTCTACAATTATGGCGCACATGTGACAATCACGAATGTAAGCAAAGAACTTTTGACTGAGAATTTACAACTTGAATGAAAAGAAAATTTCACTGCTATAATTTTGTTAATCTTTTTTACTAAAATTGAAAACAAATTTTGCGTTTCAAGAGAGAACAATCGTCATTCTTTTGGTATCTATGACGCCAATCTCCATAAATCTCCAGATTGCGTTCCAGCGCCTCCAGTGAAACCTCCGGTAGAGCCTCCAGTCAAGAATTTCTACTGGAGGCGCTGGAACAGGCCCATAATTTGACCTTCGATGACCTCTGATGACGTCATTTTGAACCCTAGCGAAAAATGACCGAAGTACTTTTTTCATAGACCTTCTTACGAGCTTTCGAATGTCGTTTGCCGCTTCTCGCGAAGTTACTTAGTTCTTGAGATCTTTGGGGGGCGGTCATCCACCCTCTCGTCGCTTCTTTTTTTTCGATAATATACATTTATTACACTCAGATCATCTCATCACATTCACAGTCATCCGACATCATCCACTCCAATGATGCGCCACCAGTGGCTCATCAGTCGTTTCATCAGCTGCCTCAGCTGGCACGACGCGCAACGACAACTCCCCCCAACAGCTCACACGCGTCCCACTATCACTGCACCGCTGCAATGGTTGCACTACACAGGTCAAGGCACACATGGCACCACCGCGGGACCGGTCTTTGCGGCACTGCTCCAACAGCGAACAGGCAACCAAACAAGTCAGAGTGAGCAAAACAGCGAGGCAAGGTCCGGGTGAAACGTTCAACACAAGATAAGGATAACAACACTGCAAAAAATACAAATTATTTAACAAAGCCCAGAGGTTTACATTTATCAATACAGAACAGTTTTTATATCAACTTTTAACAGCTATCAATGACTATCAACCATCAATGACACCGGCGATGCAGCGAGCGACGCCGGCGGAAGACGCGCCGGCGGCGACTCGGCCAGCCCGGTCACCGGGGCGATCGAGGCGGCGGCGGCGTGACTGGAATCTCTACTATTTTCTACTTTGTTTTGCTCCTTTCACACGTCACATGCAAGACAAAACAGCCGCTAGTCCCTTCCCGCGACCGGCGAGCTCGTGACCTTGGGGATCATCCGGGTGTTTGTGGCATGTTTGTTTTATAAATATGATGTGTATATTTATGTATACTGTATACTATGTATTTATTGTATGCATTTTATGTATGTATTTTTAAGTGTTTTTACGTATTTCTATTCCTCATGCAGATCAGCCTACAACATGCAATGATGCAAACTGATCTCACATGAGATGCAAATTGCATGAAGATACAATTTACATGCCCACAAATGCATGCAAATGCATGCATTTGCAGGCAAGAGTGCTGCAAGTGTGCAACTGTGTTATGGATTGACGTACAAAGATTTGTGTAAAAAAATATACGGCAGTTAATGTGCATCGTTTTGTACGAAGATGCTTTTTAGTCTTCCCCACTTTTTCTCGAATTCTATTTGTTTGTTTATGCGATTAGCTGCTTGTTGTTCTATTTCTACAACAATTTTCAGTTTGTTTATTAGGTGTGTCACCTCTGGTGTGATATTTCGTAACCTTGCTTCATATATGACCATTTTTGCTAAAGCCAATATATGTGTCTGTTGTGGATTTGCATCGATTAGGAAGAACCAAGTTTTGCTGTTTATAGGGAGGCGTATTTCGTACGGATCTAAAATTCTGCGTTTGATATCTGCTATAAAGGACTTTACTTTATTACAATGCCAGAACATATGAACCAGTGTTTCCGGTTCTACTTTACAGAACGTGCAAGTATCTTCGTCTTTAATGTGTATAGTCTTAAGGTAGGTATTCGTTGCTACTATGCGATTTATGAGTTTATATTGAAACGTTATCAGTTTTGCTGACTTTGTGACCTTTTTTAAGATTGCAAGGCTATTTTCCTCAAAACCCCCAATATCTCTGATCCACTTTGCTTTTTGGCGTTCATTAGCATTCCGTATTTCTAACTGCTTATGTTTTACATTTGCTTCGTACGCTTGACGTGAAAATTTTTCATTGTTTAACACCACGCACATTCTATGTGGCATTATCGGCCCAAGTGTTTTATCTATTTGTTGGTTTTTTATGTAATCAGGTAAGCTCCTGATTAAGCTCGAATAACATAAAAATGTCATCTTCACGTCGTAAGCATTTTCGAGGCTCTCTTTGGTATGTAAGGTCCCTGTATTTTCGTTAAACAAATCATTTATGAGCCGAATTCCTTTTTTGTACCAGCTACGTATTATTGAACATTGGAATTTCGTGTAATCTGAAAACCATATGCTTTCGAAAAGTACGTTAGCCTCATCAGGTACGTATACTCTGCTAAAGTTTGCAAAACTTTTTAGTACGTCGCTCCAAAACTTGTTTTCAACCTTCTTCATCAATTTCTCTAGTTGTTTACTGCCAAATTGAAGCACGTTTTCAATTGGTGGTAGTTCAATTTCGACTATACGTGACCATGATGCGTTTGATGCCATTATTCTTTTGAGCCATGTCAGCTTCATGCTGGCGCAGAAGGATTGGACATCTATCATGCGAAGACCACCTGCGGTAAAGTTTTGTATAAGTTTCGCGCGTTTTATTGGATCTCGTTTACCACCCCAAACAAATTCGAATAAGATTCTCTCAAGACTTTTAAATTCTTTTCTAGAGGGGTC